GGGAGGAGGGGCTGGGGGCCTGGACTCCCAGGTCGGAGGGAGGAGGGACTGGGGGCCCAGACTCTTAGGTCTGAGGGAGGAGGGGATGGGGGCCTGGACCCCTGGTTGTGAGGGAGGAGGGGCTGGGCCTGGACTCCTGGGTCTGAGGGAGGAGGGGCTGGGGGTTGGGACCCCTGGGTCTGAGGGAGGAGGGGCTGGGGGTTGGGACCCCTGGGTCTGAGGGAGGAGGAGCTGGGCCTGAACTCCTGAGTGTGAGTGAGGAGGGCCTAGGGGTTGGGGCTGGGACTCCTGGGTCTGAGTGAGGAGGGGCTGGGGGCTGGGACCCCTGGTTGTGAGGGAGGAGGGACTGGGGGTTGGGACCCCTGGGTGTGAGGGAAGAGGGGCTGGGCCTCCGGGGGCCTGGGGGAGGAGGGGTTGGGATGTCCTGTGCCACCATTCCCTCCCTCCATTTCCAGACGATGCACCCGTCCCAGCTCCAGCCGGTGACCAGAAGGAGGTGGATGCTTCAGAAAAGAAACTTGTTGAGCGGGTCCCTGAGGTTGAGGTGCCCCAGCATCTGTGATCCTCCGGGACCCCAGCCCTCTGGATTCCTGATGCTCCAAGGAGGCTGATGGGCGCTGGATGAAGTGGCACAGTCAGCTTCCCTAGGGGCCGGTGTCATGTTGGGCTCCTGGGGCGGGAGCACGGGCTGGCATTTCATGCACTGCTGCCCCTCCAGGTCCGCCTGTCTCCACTCTCACAGCCTCCGAGTCTGTGGCCCTTCCCTTCTGTCCTCCTCCGAGGGGCCTGCCTTCTCTCGTGTCCAGTGAGGTGCTCAATGATCAGCTTAACTTAGGGAAGGCCCCTCCCCTTCTCGTCTATCCCAAGAGGGTCTGCTGTGAGCCTGCGTTCCTAGGTGGCGGGGCCTCAGCTGCCTGGGTTGTGGCCGAGCCAGCATGCTGTATGCCCACAGCTACTGGAATCCCCCTGCTGCTCCGGGCCAAGTTTCTGGTTGATTAACGAGGGCATGGGGTGGTGCCTCGAGACCTTCCCCTACCTTTTGTGGAACCAGTGATTCCTCAAAGAGAGTGTCCCCTCCACAGCTGGGTGCCAGGGGCCGGGGATCCTCAGTGTAGCTGGTGAACCCTGATACCAGGAGCCCGGGCCTCCCTGAACCCCTGGCTTCCAGCCAGCTCATCGCCAGCCTCCTCCTGGACCTCTTGGCCCCCAGTCCCTTCCCCACACAGCCCCAGAAGGGTCCCAGAGCTGACCCCGCTCCAGGACCTGGTCCCAGCCCTTCAGTCTCATCTGGAGCTCCTGAAGGCCTGTCCCACCCACATTTCTGGCCTCATCTGACACTGCTCTGCGGCCTGCTGCGTGTCCTGCTCTGTGCTCCGGTTCCATCTAAAT